ATTATTATTATTATTATTATTATTATTATTATTATTATTATTATTATTATTATTAGCGGGATTAGCTCTCTTCTTCGCTTTGATGCAGAAGGAGGTCATCACGTTTCCTCTCCAGGGCAGAGCCAGTTGCAAACTACCTTTCATTGGGGGCCAGTCTAGCTATAAACTAAACTATTTGTTTAGAAGTTCTGAGTTTTCCGTTGGGCTTTTGTTCACCAATTTCTGAAAAGCCTCAGTGTGAAGCTCTAAGTTAGTTTCTTAGTTTTGCCATAGCCAGTTCTCTACTTGAACTGGGAATAAACCTGAATCTGAATGCGTGTCAGCGGTCTTCAGTGACCTGTACGTGCTCTGAAGAAGGGATATCCTTGCTTATATGTTAGGAAAATCATCGTGCATCCCCTTCTAATAAAGTGAATTTCAATATCAGCTGTATATCTTGGGGTTCATTCTGAAGGCGACGGTACAAGCGGAAGAAAGCAGGAAACTTCTTCACAGCTTCCGCATTCCAGCGCTCGGCATAACAGCTGCGGTGGAGCTCTTCATCAACTTAGTGGAAAAGTATTTTCTATCGAGTAGGATGCAGATGTTGCACTTGTTTCAACGCGAAAACTATCCCAGCGATTTGTCACTTTCCGATCCGATGCCATACCCTGATCAAGTTCCACTGTGATAGAGGAGGATATTCTGAGTTTTTAATAGTGATCTTACAGAAATATCTAACGTGTTTCGTTTTACTTTTGTTCAAAACCCCTTCGCTACTAATCACTGCAATGCACCAGGTCTCCCTGCTAGGGGGAATGGGATTCACTGTACGCGCCTACCCCTACGACCCTTCCGGGGGCCGTTTCCGGTTACAAGAGTTGAACTGCTCTGCTCATGATAAAAGTTTCTAAGATGCAGACAACGTCGTGCTCATATTTCAGATGTCCTGCTACAGCGGCTTACAGGCCGGGAGCTGGCGCCGAAGTAGCCGGCCCAACCAGATGGGGTTGCACCCCATCGTGCTGCAACTAAGGCTACAAGCTAACCCCACATGTAAGCATAGCAAATGCCCCTTACCTGCACGAATACACGTCGTTCACCATTACGAAGTGGTTAGAATGCTCCCATAGGCCGTCTGCGCGCAACTAGGGTGCTCCGAGCACGTACAAACAAACCCCACATGCGAGCATGCTCAGGCGCTCTCTGCTTCGTGCACTAACACTGTGAACAAGCTTCTAACATTTAATTCCATCAGAAGTCTCACTGCATACAATTAGAGATACGTGCACCGGATACAGACAGGGCAGGCAACGCTGGCTTTGCTACAGTTACTGTGTTCGGGGAGCCTTGAAAACGGAGAGGAAAGAAGCTACTTCTTCGGCGTCATCTTGCTCAAGTGCCCTAGCAACACTGCAGCTCAAGGGGAACTGAGTCTAGGGCTGCGGGCTTACGCTACGCAAACAAACATTACCGCACAGGATCATTGTCTGGATGTGGGCTATATATGACTCTGCACGGACTAGGCATATAGGCACTTTCCCCACAGACCAGCGGGCGAGCAAGGTGTTGTGCTCAAATTTTTTCAAGTACACAGTGCTGCGCCCAACTGCTCTTATGTACGGAGCAATTCCGCGACGTCGATGGATTGCTCTAGCAGCCCTGGAGGCCCTCTTGGCGCCTTGAACGAACATAGAGAAGCGCACGAATGCAAGTTACCGCAGGGGAACTCCTATGGCTTCCGTATTAAAAATAGATAAAATATAGAAATTTCACACTTGAAGTTCCAAGTACACAGAACCGTGTCCTCCGCCACACTCACATGCATGAAGCTTTTCATGCAGCCCGGAGACAAGCCCCGTTGAGAGTGTGCCCCTAAAGTCTGCAAATAGGAAAACTGGAAGTTGACGAATATTTTCATCAACTTTAAAGTACAGCGGCATGCTAGGTTATGCCGTATAGATCTTGGTATGATTTAGCGCATTTCACTTGGATCCGGCGGACGAGGCTACCGAGGTCAGCAAGAGGCTGACCCCCTAAAAGGCGCACTCTGTTGCCTCTACCAGGTCCTCTTGACAGTTTTTATTCCAAGAAAGTCGAAGGGAAATGCTGGCGGAGCTGCGGCCAGAGCCGCGCGACACGATTTCATCTGTTTGTTTCTCCCCCAATCACGCCAAAAATGTGCTCGCGGCGTCCTCCTGGGATAACGTGAGTTTGAAGGCTTCGTCTGAACCAAAGCTCTCGTAGTTATACTGTGAATATTGCTGCCGAGTGCATTTTCAGTGAGGGAAACAGTTGATATACACGAGAACGCCCACAAGCAATGCACGACAGGGAGTGGAAACGCATCATCTACAGGCGGCCTCCGTTGCAGCATGTTTTATTTGGGATTTCTGAGGTATCCGGATCATATGAAAGTATGCATTTCCAGCTTGATGTGGTTTACTATGCACGTGGTGCGTGCAGATGCTGCGCGTCTATGACGTGGACAACTCAGAGCTGATTTCTCAGCACGAATTTCAAGCCGCCCCGCTGGACTGCTGCTTCCTTTCAGATTTCAATCGTGTTGCAGTGGGAGGATTAACAGGGGGTATTCATGTCTTCGATGTTCATGGCGCTAAGATCTCTCAAGTTGGCCGCCACGACGCCCCTGTTCGTTTTGTGCGTTTCCACAGACCGACGAGTGAGTTCCTGTCCGCTGGGATACCCCTTCACATTTTCAGCTGTTGATACACATATATTTGATTGTGCTTAATCAGCCATTTTTTTAAACATGTGGGCTGGTGCGCAATGGACCGTCCTCGTCGCCTTTTTCTCTGCAGATCTCATATACTCCGGTGGATGGGACAACACCATTAGAGCTTGGGATTTACGCTCTCCGAGGGAAGTTGGTATGGGGGCGATCCACGGCAAAGTGTATGCGATGGATTTGAACGACGATAAACTAGTGGTTTGCGACTCCATGAAAAGGGTAAGAGTCGCAGCATGACCGCATGTAATCAGGTTCCGTTGCAGTTGCAATTCTCTGATTCAGAATTTCACAACCGTCCACATTGTGCTGTATCTTAGAAAACAGGAATATTCTGCTGCAGTGCCATAGTTTAGGCTTACCTCCGCTTGCTTTGGGGGGAAGCAAATAGCGTCTGATGGTAATGCAGGACATTTCCCACCAACCGCCTCACGATCGAAAAGATTTATATGATGTGTGCGGTCTGGAGATGCACATGCATTTTCTGCATGTGGGCCTTGAGCTTGCTTGTGCTTGATGCGTGCAGACGTACATATATGACATCCGCAACGGCGCGAATATGGGCAACGCGGAATACCGCGAGTGAGCTTGTTCAGATAATGGGGGCACACCAGTCAGCTTAGCCGGCTAGCTACACTCTACAATTGACTATGAGCAGTCTGCTTCAGCGTATTCCATGAGATGCAGCCCCCCGAATTTGTGGGTGGAGGGAGCCCCATTCATGCAGATGTGTAGATGAAAATTCACATGGTTTAGTACGACGTAAACTGGTTCATGGTACGTCTGCGTTTCCCTAGTTACATACTGGCCTGCCTTCTTTTGGCTGCTGAATGATGCGTGTCGCAGTCAAATTCTCAAGTACCAGATAAGATCAGTGCGGTGTTTCCCCAACGGGCAAGGATTTGCAGCATCGTCGATTGAAGGCCGCGTTACTTGGGAATACTTTGACCCCGTAAGCAAGTGGCAGACAGCACCGATTCGTCTCCTAGGGATCCCACTTTGCAGAGGATCCGTGCAACTGTATTCATGTTCTTCAACATGAATATGTGTCGTGTGCATCTCCTCACTTGCCTGCACTCCTGCCTTGCATTTCTGCTTGTCGTGTTCTTGCAATTGGCCCGTTGCCCTGTCGAGCTCGGA